ACCCCACACTGCAGCACACAGCTGTGTCTCTGTGTGGAGTGGGCTGTCCTCAGAGTGGGGTCTCACTCACTGTCCTGACTCACTCACCTCCTCTGTCCTGCTCTCTCCAGCTCAGTCCTAAGTGCAAAGAGATCTGCCAAGTGAGTAACTGCTCGGGAAGTATTCTTACAACTGCCATCCAAATAGGGGAAATAACTAAACAATTTCTTTTTCTCTAGGGATTCACAACCCAGAAAACCAGCCTCCTTTCATCGGAGCCACTGAGCAGGAGTCCCTAGAAATATTTTCTTCTCGGTCTCCAACCGCTCTGCAGCCCTGCAATAAAATCCCCACAGATGGAGGAAATCAAAGCTTGTGCAACTACTCCTCGGTGCAACTATTTTAAGAAACAAAAGGGCTAAAGTCATCGACATCGCTGCCTATGCATGAGTATGCTGCGTGAACTCGCCTACTCTGTATAAGAAACGAACCAATTACTCTAAGCAGATTCAAGAAGTGACAAAACATCTTGAGTAAGAAAGATCTAACGTTTCAGAACATCATCCCCGCCTACAACAACACACCACACTATGTAACTGATTAATATGTGGCACATGGTTTAATGCATGCCTCCAGCAAAAGCAGAAATACCCTTAATTAGAATAAGTGAATTACTGCAGGCTAGTGCAGAGGTTTTTGCGTGTGTCGAAGCTCAGTTTAATGACAGAATATGTGGAGCCTCAGCCCCCCACCCCCATCTGGACGCTGAATTCTGTACAGAGGCTTTGCTTTTTTTTCCCTGATAAAGATTAAAGCAGGCTTTATTCTTCTGATTTCAATAAGGTGAGTCATCACCTGCTAATGTGAGCAATTTTCCACTTTAGAGACTGTGAAAAGCCCAGTCCATACTTAACCTCCTTGACAAGCCATTCAGACAACTGATGAATATTTCTCTGGGGCTGGTATACATGCACATCAAGCGCTCATGGCCTGTGTTAAGTATCTGTATAGGAAGGACCCATAAAAACTCTCATAATAGTTGGCCTACAGCCACCATCTGAACAGCCTAATACAGTGGTAATGTTGCCATTATTAGATACCTAATTAAAACATCACTCAACAAAGGCAAGGCTGTAAATTAAAGTTATAGACCTCTTTCGACATCTGTCTGAAAAACGCAATCAAAACTGTTTTTTTCCCCGTTTAAAAGGATTTGTTTATCTGTACTCGAGTAACTAAAGCAATAAGGAAATGCAAAAGACCAGAGACCAGTAATGTAGAAAACTTTGAATGTGTATAGCTTTTCCTCCTCGGTGGTTATGTTCACATATTGTCATTTCTTTGCCAAAGGAAAAAAAAAAATCCTATTATCTCTAAAAAAAAACCTTTACACAAGAACCAACCATCTGAAACTTAAGAATGAAACACCGGCAATTAGGTTGCAAATGATCAGGCTTTCCAAATTATCTCAGGAAATCTCTGAAAAACACCCTTTTCACCACATGATTACTATGATTGACTCGCAGGGGTTTTATTGTTAATCCTTGAGGGGGTTTTTTTTGTTGCAGTTGATGTTGTTGTTTTTAATGGTGCTTCTGCTGTCAAACCACATCGCTGCCGGAGAAAAGGTTCCTGAAAGGCGTCGTGCTAGAAAGAGGCCCTTCCCCTTGTGCCCCAGCGCTCGGCGAGAGGCGGCTTTGTGACAGCGGGGTAGAAAAAGCCTGTCAGCCGCAGAGGGGTTCGCTGATGGACTCCAAAACGCCGCTGAGTGCTTTTAAAACTCGCTGCTGCCTGCTGCAAAATGACTTCTGTCCCCCCCAAATAAGCTGAAAACAGCCCTCTCTCTATTTGTGTTTCTAAGATAATAAGAGCAAAAGTAATAAAAGCTTACGTTGCCTTTTGAGTATAGAGGCTCTGCTTTTTTATTTTCCCCTCCCCTTAACAGAAACAACGCCGGTGTTCAGCCGCGGTCCCGGGTCTCTCCGCTCAGGCAGAGACGTGAGGAAGGATGAGAACATGAAGCTGCAGGCTAGATGCTTTTCCTCGTGAGTCGCCACAGCTTCCCCTGCGCTCACAGCTTGGGAGGAGAAGCCTGCTAACGAGATACGGGCGCTTGCCAAGCTCTTCCTCGCGAGCTCGATCTGCAGCCACCCTCCACACATTTCAGAAAGCCCGTTCACCTCCACTCCAGCCAAGTAGGCTTAACTCTTTCCAGCCTGGGTGCCTGCAGTGGGCTGCCTCTGCCAAATCGAGGCCTCTCCCTCGCAGGCTCGTCTCGTTAACCTGGCACAGCGACAGGACCGAGAGGCCCGGATTGTCAGCCGCTTACCGATATACACAGAACTCGAAGGAACGTGCTGCCCGGAAAGGTAAAAATTCCATTCTTTCCTGGGCCAATGCTTCAGGGGAAAATCTATTCCTCGGCTTTTTCTACCCAGTTCTGCCTGCTCCCGCAAATTCCTGCCATTTGCGTTAGGAAAAAAAACCGTAAGCGCTTGTTTTTCAAAGCTTCTCTGACACAGACTTGGGCTAAAAAGTCCAGATCGTTTCAAATGTACTCACACACCTTCCTCCGGAACGGTATTAGCATTTGTAAATCTGCCCAGGGATATCTCTGCATTTTTATTAGCTCGGTGAAGCTCTATTAATGCAGCAATAAACATGCTGAGCATTTCTGAAATAAATGGAACAGCAGCTTCTGAGTCTTTGTAAGGGAGATTAAGAACTTTTCATCTTCAGAGTCTGCAAGAGTCAAGGCATGACTCAAGCGTGTTTCAAGTTTCCTCAATCATATTCATCACGCAAGTCTCAACTCACACAGCACTACAGCAGCACTGCTCTTCAAAGGAAACAAAGGCAGCCAAAGAGACACAAAATAAGATTCTAAGAACAGCGAAAAATCTATAAATAACCTGATCAAGGTGGGATTACACGCACAACAGGGAAGAGGGTTTATTGTCCATTTTTTAAGAATTTCAGTATCATAGACTGAAAACACATTAAAAGTTAAGGTTAAACATCTGTTATAAAGATTTTATGAAACTCACAGGCATGTCTGAAAAATAATAAACATGCAAACTAGACCTGGAATGAAGAGATCAATGATCTATCTGTGAGTACAGTGTGGCACTGCCTGTGGTTAGTTATGCTATAAGCCACCAGCACTGACACCGTTACGGAATGACGGAAGAGGTGTTAGTGGGGCAGCAGGGGGCGCTCACCCTGCGGTCCATGTGGGTCCTAATGGCCCAGTATAGTGACGGGGACACTATACTGTAAAAAGGGGCTGTCCTTCGGATGAGACGTAAAACCGAGGTCCTGACTCTCTGTGGTCATTAAAAATCCCAGGGCGTTTCTTGAAAAGAGTAGGGTTGTAACCCTGGTGTCCTGGCCAAATTTCCCATTGGCCCTTACCAATCATGGCCTCCTAATAATCCCCCTCTATGAACTGGCTTCATCACTCTGCTCTCCTCCCCACTGAGAGCTGATGTGTGGGGGGTGTTCTGGCGCACTATGGCTGCCGTCGCATCATCCAGGTGGGGCTGCACATTGGTGGTGGTGGAGGGGATCCCCATTACCTGTAAAGAGCCTTGAGTGGAGTGTCCAGAAAGGGTCTATATAAGCGTAAGCAATTATTATTATTATTACCATTATGTTTGAAACGGACAACACAGGAGTCTGAACCACGGAAGGAATTTCTTTAGAAACTGCTATTTGAGTATACTGGTATTGAACACTTCAAGTATTCGAATACTTGACTTCTAATCAGTACAATAGGTCATAAGGAACAATTCCATGCTGAAAAGAGAAGAAAAGAACACCCGTTCTACACACCAGAAGAAGGCTCCACAGCCGAAACATTGTGTTTCTTTTCTTCTCTGTTCACCATGGAATAAACCTATTACTTGTTCCTTTGCAGCTTACGCCTGCTGACGCAGCTATCTACTTGAACTATTACAGGTCGTAAGCCTATAAATAGCAATCCTGCAATAATACAACAAGCA